AAAGGATTATTACAAGTAACATTGATGATAAAACGTTAGAATCATGAAATTATTACCAAAGTTTACTTTGTATGATTCAAAGTATCTCCATAGTCTTCAGTTCCATTAGCTAGTATCCTAAGGGAGTTTCTAAGTTGTTGGTTCACATTATGGTGCTTCACTGTTATGTTGCTCCTTTTTTGTGAACTGTTTCTTGTGTTTTGCATACAATCAGTTTTTCCTCTTTTCTCCTCTTTTTAAGGAAAATCTGTATTTTAATATGCTTTTTTATTGAAAAATAAATATGAATGGGACAGTTTCACAGCTGATTAATAGGACAGTTTTGATAATCAATACACTGTACATCGTTATCTTCTTAGTGGTTATCCATAGTACAAGAAGCAGACAGGATATTCTGTCCAAACACTGTTAGTACACCTCTTCTCATTGAATTAAACGAAAGTAGCTGTAAATTTATCCTAACAATTTTGTATATATAAATACAAAATGATCTTTCCTTTGTATCTTTTTTTTTTTTGTCTTGTCAGAGGTGAATATTCTATTGGCATCTAAATACTATAGATGTTTGAATTCAACTAAGCAATCTAACACTGTCTAGTAGTGTATAATATTAGTGGGTTATCCTCAGAAGTTATTGACTTGAGCCTTTTACAGCTCATCATATTAATATGGCTTTACTTTATATACCTTGTTTAATATGCTTATCCTAAAATACATTTTATTACTAAATATAAAGCTCACTTTTTTAATATGTTGATTTGTCATCCTAAAAAATTTCAAATAGTCTTCCAGTCTTGTTCTCATGTCTTAAATTCTATACCTCAATCTCTTCCAAAGGTCACACATATTTGAAAAGGAATGTGCCTTCTCCTAACTTTGAAGCTTCTGGTAGGAGGAGCTCTTGTAAATAATGTGGAGAAGGAGTGTTGGAATTACTCAATACTTGCAAGTTCAAAATTTTATTTTTACACAGTCAAAGTTATTCATTAGATAGATAATTTAAGCAACTTTAAAAAATTATCACTCACAAAGTGGTTGAAAAGTGTGCTAGAGGGGCCGGGGAGATGGCTCGGTAGAATAAGCGTTTGCCTGGCAAGCGCAAGGGCCTGAGTTCAATCCCCGGTTCCGGAAAAAAAAATAAAAATAAAAAGTATGCTAGAGAAAAGATAGCCTTTAACACTATTTGTTGAAGAGTTTATTCTTTAAAAGAGTGAAGGGGTGGGGATATAGCTCAGAGGCATGGGCACCTTCCGAGCAAGCATAAGGTGCTGTGTTTGATCCCTGGTACCAAAAAAAAAAAAAAAAAAAAAAAGAAAAAAACAAAAACAAAAACAAAAACAGAGGGGGATAAATCTGGTTTCATTTTTTTTTTTTTATGTGAATAACGATCCCTCTCACTATGTACTAAAATCAAATCAAAATGGACCAAAGACCTAAATATGTAAAAGCATTTTCCTTGATGATAAAGCAGCAGAATTAGAAATGAGTAATAAAAATTCTCTGGATAATATTCTAATATTTGAACACTAGGTAACACACATCTAAATAGCCCTGGGTAATGAAAACGATCTAGAAAGGATTTGTTTTCAACCTAGCAAAGACAAAAATACCAGCAATTGCAGTTTGTAGGATATAGTGTAACAGTACTTAAATGAGCAAACAGTGCTTGTGGTACCAGTGACTGCACTCAGAGCCTTTGAGAGGACCTAGCACTCAGCCCTTTTTTGTTTTTAATTTTTACATAAAGGTTCCTTAATTAGCTAAGGGACCCAGGTTGGGCTCGAATTTGACAGCTCCTCCTGCTAAGGAAGCAATGACTGCCAGGCAGTAGGAGGCGCCGCCTGCTGACGTTGTGCGCGATGACGTCAAGGGCATTACTGCACGCGGGGGTGGTCGTTGCGGCCGCCTGGGGCGCTAAGGCTGGGCCTTTTCTGTCAGCACAGATGTTGGCTTGTCGAGGGCAGAACCACCGGCCTCCTTCTTCCCTGGAGTCCAGGCGGCTCACACCAACTTCTTGAGCACTGGCCGGGCCACAGGAACAGCTCCAGCAGCAACGGACGGAGGACGCAAAGGTGCGGGGTTTCCGCCCACCCCGCAGGCCTCGTCCACCATCGCGGTCCCTGACTAGGCCCGAGTCCTGTGCTCTCTCTCCTGCGTGTGAGGGAAACCGAGAGCGCATCCCGAGGGGCGGAGCCCCCTCGACGTGGGCGGGGGAGGGGGAGTGATAAAAGCGGGAAAGGTGTAGAGTGTTTTGGGTGAGAGGAGTATTCATTTGTGTACTTGTGAACGCAAGGATAGTATGCCCGCTAGACATCCTGCTTTCCTTTGGACCGTTTCATCAGCAGGCTAGCAGTTTGCTAGTATTGCTGTCACAAAGTGGCCAAAGTTGGTGACCTAGACAGAACTTTATTACTTACCAGGTCCAGAAGTCCAAAAGGAAGGTGCTGGCAGGAGTTGTTTTCACTGGAGGCTCTTAGGGAGTCTATGCCCCATCTTGTTCTCCTAGCTTCTGGTGGCCATTGGCAATCTTTGGTGGCCTTTGTGTCACTCCGATGTCTGTCGGTGGCATGGCATTCTCTGCATGTGTCTTGTGTCCAGTCATGAGATTGGAACTGAGTTTATATTTGCAAAGTTACTGTTTCCAAAGTCAAGGTCATATCCACAGGTTCTGGAGTTGGGACATAAACATATTTTGGTTAAATCCCAATTTAATCCACATAACTACGAACTTGTTAAATCACTCATTTAAAAAAAAAAAAAACCTTCCACTTGATGACATTTTCTTCTTTATGATATACCATTTACTTCCTTTGGTAGTAAAATTTCTTTAGAGTTCTTGTATTCCTAGTCACTGTTTTTAGCTTTCACTGACAGTTCTCTTTTGAATTTAAATCAGGCATTTACTTCTGTCATTTGATTGGAATTGTTGCTCATTCAGGTCACATACCATGTTGCTAAACCCAGTGGTCAGGTCGTTGTCCTCCGTCATCTCTCCTACCTTTTGACAGTCTATCATTTATTTTTCCATGCTGTGTTTTTCAGTTTGCATTCAATAGATCACTTTTGGCTTTACCTTCTGGATTACTGGCTCCTCTTCTCTCTGACTTGATACTTTTGATGAAATTGCTTTAATAAGATGAACTTCTGCATTTTTGATGCTTTTAACTTTTACAAACTTCAGTTTCTGCATCAATTTTCTTATAATAATTATTTTTCTTGAGTCATTATACCAAGGATTAGTGTGAAAAATTTACCTGCTCACAGTTTTGGAAGTCAGTGGTCTGAAATCAAAGTGTTGACAAAATGTGTTTCCCCTGAAGGCCCTCAAGATGCTTGCATGGCTTCTTCCAAGATTCTACTGGGTGCCAGCAACCCACAAAATTCCTGGTCTTGTAGGTACATCACCCCAGTCTCTGCCTCCTGGGCTATAGTGATAGCAGTGATGGGATTTGAGACCCACCCTAGTTCAGGATGGACTGGACTATCATCTTAACTTGATTATTTCTGCAGATACTCTAATTTCAAGTGTCACATTTACAAGTACCATGGATTAAGACTTGAACATAATGTTTATGGGGAACACAATTTGATGTACAACAACAGTAGGACTAGCCTAGTGTGGTGAACTTCATGCAAGAAGCAACCAATATTCTATCTTAATTTTGCCATTCCACACACAATTCCTGTACTCCAGCATAAATTTAAAGTCTTTAGGAGGGGCTGGGCATAATGGAGCTTGTGTGTAATCCAAGCAGTCTCGAATTGGAGGCAAAAACATTGCCTTGAATTTGAGGCCAGACTGAACTGCATAGCAAGACTTTCTCTCGGAAAAAAAAAAAAAAAATTTAGAAGGAGGCATTCTTCTGAGTATTAATCTGCTTTGGAGGGAGAAGAAAATAGAATGTATTAACTTAGTAAGAGAAAAAGTAAGAACAAAATTTAAACATTTTTCTGATTATGTCATTGTTGCTTCTGCCTTCTTTGCTTCGTACATCTCCATCCAAAATGTCCATTTGTATATCGAACTCACATGGGCTTCTGACAACTTTTTAATTGTCTTATTATTTGTTTTTAGGACTATTTCCCTCTCCATTTTTATAATTTCTCCAGAGTTGATTTGGGAATTCATCATCTTGGTAGAATTTGACAATTGTTCCATTGCTTAAAATTTAAAATCATTTATTTTTTCCCTCACTTATTCAAAAGTGCTGTAAATCTTGGAGATAAAAATGGCACTACTTGTAGGATAAGTATAATAGAAGAAAAGCAAGATTTGTAGCCAAGTTGAACTGTATTGAAATTTACCCTTAACAATAATTAACTTTATGACTTGAGGCTAGTAACTAACTTCTCTGAGCTCAGTTCAATCATGTAAAATGAGAATAGTGACTTATATAAAGGACATATTTTAGCTTGAAAATAATTGATATTTTATGAATATGATCATATTTGGGCCTCAATAACTTGGTGTAAATGAAATTACTAATAACTGCATTCTATTTTTCAGTGTTTTAAGTAATTGTTATTCATAAGAGGCAAAAATTTAATTGTGGCTCCAGAAACTGTTTGATATACTCTGAGTAGGTTTCTAAAGTATTAGAAAAAAGAAAACAAATATACAAATTTAATTAGAATAACTTTATTTTGTTACTTATATGATGTGAGATTTTTCTCTCAGTTTATTCGTGTTTTATTTACAGGGAAGAATTAAATATTTCACCCATCATTTGGAAACTAAGTTAATAACACAATGAAGCCAGCAAAGCACTTGCCAGCCACTAGTAACAAGTTGCCAGATATTCCAGAAGTCACTTACAAAAAAGGCCAGCTTAATTCACCATCGTTACCTAAAGCAAAAGAAAAACCTGCTGCAAAACTAGTACAAACTAAAATTGAACCGATGAGTGTACAGTCTCCACCAACCACAGAATCTATTCTACGGTATGCTTTGCCTATTCCATCAAATAAGACAGGTGAATTAGCAGGAGAAGATGACGTGCATAGGATCATCAGACATCTGAAGATGGTGAGACTCTTGGGGGGTTCACATATTGTGGAGTCCCCATGATGATGTCCAGGTTTGGTAACTTGCTAGCAGTGTGCAAAGGATTCCACACAGTTTATTGATGTGAGGAACACATTTCAGCAGGCCCATAGAAGGGAATGTGGAGGAAGCTGGGACAGCTTTTGAGAGTCGTACCTTAATTGTGTCAGTACAGGAAAAATCATTAAACACTAGGTGCTCCAGGTTTTAGTGAGGCTAGAGTTTTAAGGAGAATAATATTAAATTTAGTTTAACTGTTTTTAATTGAGAAAATAATTAATTTGTTTTGCATATTTATAGGTTGCTTCTACTTTGGAAAAAGCCTATGGGTTTGACTTTGACAATGAAGAACTAGTAGTGAAACCTGAACAGGAAGACTTAGGTGTCTCTGTAAGTATATATAACCCTAATATAAAGAAATTAACACTGAAAAAGGCTAAATTATTTTTGAAGCTATATAATGTTCAAGATTAATTCCCTATTAAAGGAAATGGTCGTTTTAGGAAATTTTACAGTAGTATACTAATTTTTCCATCTTTCAATCTCAATCTTTAGCATTAAGTAGATCATATCTATACCTTGAATCTACATTTAATAATAGTGGCTCTGCTAGTAAATTTTTAATTTACTTGTTCATTTGAGGTGTATATTCTGTGTGGTGATAAGAAACTATTCTTGGTAAGAAAAAGAAAGACTGAGTTTTAACAAGTACGTTTGCTGTATATGTGTTAACATAACACAAGTACAGTTTAAGATTATAGTGTGGGTCCATGCCCCCCCCACCATGGCAGAAGGCAGGCTGACCCTGGACAGCTTTGGAGCCCTAGTGACAACTGGCCTGCCCCTTCAAGAATCATAGGAGATTTGCTGAGTTGTGCTCCTTCCCCCACTATTCAAAAAGACATGCTGAGCCCAAAGAGCTACAGAGATCTAGTGAGCCATGCCTGCCTTCCCCTGTACTGCACCCCCACTACAAGAACCTTGCTGTGCTGCAACTCCCCCCCCCCATCGTAGACACCACTTTGAATGCTGGAAAGCCAAAACTTCATGGAGCCTACCCTTCCCCCATCACTATACCAGAAGCCTTGCTGAAATGCACTGTGCACCCCCACCTTCGTTGCTGAGCCTGAGTGAAAATTGGGAGCTTCAAAAATACCAAAAGAAATCTCTGAACTATGACCCACTCAGAATACATCCAGGATACAAGGACATAGAAGGCTTTGGAAGTAACATACCTGAAATTTTTTTCAATGATGAACTAAAGTAAAAAACTAACTCCATCAGGCTGTAGAAGAACTCAGATCAAAAATAATCTCTCAGGGGCTGGGGAGATGGCTCAGTAGAATAAGCACTTCCCTGGCAAGCGCAAAGGCCTGAGTTCAATGCCCGGTTCCAAAAAAAAAAAAAAAAAAAAATTCTCTCAGGTAAATTAAAGAAATGACAGCAATCATGAAATAATTGCTCAGCATACCTAAAGAAGACATAGATTAAAAAAAGGAAGACAATAAAAAATGATGGAAACATTAAATGAGCAATACAGGAAAGAACTAGAATGTGTGAAATAGAATAAAAGAGATCCAATAAACAAAGAATTCCCTTGAAAGCTGTCAAAAATACTTGAATAAAACTGAAGATAGACTCTCAGATCTTGAAGACAGCATTATGAAAGGAACAACCTCTTAAAAATTACAAGGAACCAGGAAATAACAATTTAACAGTTGCAAGATGATAACAAGAAAAACAATCTGATTGATAGGTGTCAATAAAAAGCAAGAGTAACAAAAATGAGAAAGACTATTTGCAGAAGTAGAAGAAAATTTCCCAAGCATTGAGAAAGAATCTGACATACTGTTAAGTGAGGCATATAGATCTCTAAATATCAATAATCAAATCAAATCTACACCTAGACACATTATGATCAAGATCCTAGAAATGAGGGTCGACAAGATAGCTCACTGGACTAAGCACCTGCTTAGGCCAGTACAGTGACTAGGGTTTAAACCCAGCGCTACATGCTGGGCTGCCCTTCTCCAAAGCTATGCTGAGCCAGCCACCAAGACAGGGCATGATGGCATATACCTGTAATCCCAGTGCTGGGGAAGTTGTAAACAGGAGGATCACTACAAGTCATAGCTGTGTAGTAAGACTCAGTATGAAATACATTTTTTAAAAATCCCAGAATCAGCAAAAGAATAGAGTATACTGCCATACTGTCTCTCAAGTAAATGTTTGTTTAAAAAAAAGGAATAATAAATGAAAACAAGAGACAAAAAAATGTCATAAGACTGTCCTGCTACCATGCTGTACATGGTTAGATTTCTCAATTTCTGTGTAAAAATACATAATTGTTTATTCTTAGTTTTTCAATTTTTCTTTCTTTTTTATTTATTTTTCTTTTTCTCTTCACATCCTGTAGGGATTTAAAGTTTAACGTATCTGAGTCCTAGCCCAGGTCCGGTGAGTGTGTGGAGAGCTTCCTGCTACCCTGCGCCGGCGGGACCAGTCCCAGCCCAGGCACAGCGTGGGCCGGACCCTCTCCCACCCCCTTGTGCCGCCCCACACGACTCTGCCGTACCTCCCCAACCCTCCTGCC